GTGAACTTTTTGACGTTGATTAAAACCCATAGTACCTAATCGCCTGTGGCCTCACAAACCTTTCAGTCTAGTCAATTTTCTTTCTACGCTACTGTTCGAGAAGGTAGGTACCACTTTATTCGCATCAGCAGGATGGAGCTAAAAACCGCAACTCGGCGTGTCTATATAGAACCAGTTATTTTAGAACCTGTATCTGAAGAGTGGCTGGCTATTTTTTTTCAGTTTTTCTTCGTTTCTTCGGGTGAAGAATAATATTTTTTGAATAATTACCGAGACTGAAGGAAACTGCAATCTTTCAACAACAACAAGTTGACTACTTTGTCGTTTTTTTCTGGCATTTTATTTTATCGAAAAAATTCTTGTGCCCCTGCCCCTGATGGCAGCCTTGAAGGGTTCGCTTAATTTGCCAGTAATTAAATTCAAATTATTTCGCAGCGTTGCAGCCGCATTTATTTTTTTTGTTTTACTTTAAGTTTTAATGATATGAAGACTATGGGAAAACATTCTTCAATCTTCTCCCTGAAGTGGTCAGCATTCTGGTGCATCTTGACCAGTTTTTTCGACTAAACTGACTGTCTCTGAGAGCTTCGATACTTTAGTTTTTAGTTTTGTCACAAGAGATTTGAACTCTCCAAGCAGGTAGTACCTACCTACCTACTGTAGAAATTATATATTTGAAAAAAAAATCCAAAATTTCAACATTAAACTTATTAAAATTTTAATATGTAGGTATATATCAGTGGATTATAGTGATCATTAGGTAATTTTGAGATTTTTTTTTCAAGAACCAGCCTGCAGATTTTTTTTTCAATAGGTAGGTAGGTAGGTACCTACCTCTACAGGGTGAATCTGAAAGTGAGGCTTTTTTTTAACAGGGTATATATCTCGTCAAAATAAATTGTTTGACCAAAAATTTAAGATAACGGAGTTACAGGTATTTAAAATATCAAAATTAATAGGTTGAAAATGAGAAAAGGAGTTTTTGATTGATTTTTCTTAGGAAACAATGCAACTGTAGATTACCTATTATGGAATAAAACTCATTATGCTGCACAAATAACGGTTTTTTTTTGAGAAAATGTACACAAAATGTTTTATAGTTGGATGCTTATTCTCGAAACTGGGGAACAGCGTTTTTATGAGAACGTTTAATCTCGTCTTTGTCAGTCTTATGCAAATTTAAATTATGAGTATGGGCGACGAAGATAGGACCTTCGTTGTCATGAAAACGCTGCTCCCTGTTTCGAGAATAAGGACCCTGGAGTCTTCTTTCGACCTTAAAATACCTGTACTTCCGTGATCTTAAATTTTTTGTGGAAACAATTTTTTGCCAAACAACTTATTTTGGTCAGATATATATCCCGTTAAAAAAAAAGCCTCACGTTCAGATTCACCCTGTATAAATATAAATTAGTTTGATATTTGTAGGACTGAAGTTTAGTTTTTGGGATAGAGCTTTATGTAGGTATAGGTATGGATATTTTTCACAATCAAATTTTTCTTAAAATTTCAGTAAAATGACGACTTTGGTACAACCGATGCTAAAAAGAGATTTGTATAAACCCCTCTCATATGGACGTGCATGAACTGCGCACTTTCTTAATCTCTTAATGAGGGTTACTTTTAGAACCTAGAATACTTACCACGAATTGCGCACTGGTGCAATTGCAGGTAATTTTATAAATAATTATTCCCAATGGATACAACCCTAATAGAAGGTCAGTTTTATAAAACACATCCATCCTTGTATATATTTGTAAATATCTTAAATGAAATTCAGACAGAAACGTACAGGGTGTCCCATTGAAGATGGGAATTGGGGTTATCTGCTAAACTAAATTGAAAACGGTACCTCGGAAAAAAAAATCCAGTACGCCAATGAAATCTACGTAAAAAACTGCGTCAGATACAATTTTCACCTTTTTGATATCTTTTTTTATACGCTAGATAATGACTACCCTCGAAAAGTGAACATTTCAAGTTTCACCCTGTATCTCCAAAACGGAACAAGATAGAGACCTGCGGTTTGCGGCATTTGATTCGTCATGAAAAATTGGCCCGGGAATGTGGAAGCAAAAAAAATCTACCTCTACGAGTTTAGCAGATAACCCCCATTCCCATCTTCAATGGGACACCCTGTACATAAAATTACAAAGTATCGATGAAACTTAGAAAGAAAAGAGAATAGTATATTGTTGTATAAGGAGTAGAAGCTTTACTTTTTTGTGCTGAAGCGCAAAAAAGTGCTTCTACTCCGTATGCAACACGCTATTTTTTCTCCAAACGAATGGGGTAAGCTCGGGGGCAAGTGAATGGTTGAGCGGCAGCAAAAGTACGAGCGGCACTAAAAGTACTTCTACTGCCGCTCCAGCGGCACTAAAAGTACTTTTGCTGCCGCTGGGGTTGCCAAGCAGCATAGAAATTAAGTTTCTACCACCTCGACAGGTGTTAACCTGCTGGATTTGCCTACCAGCATAGAAATTAAATTTCTGACATCTTGACAGAGATTAACAAAGTGGCGTTTTTTTGACGTTTGGAGAAAATAGTATATTGTTGTATTAGGAGTAGAAGCTTTACTTTTTTGTGCTGAAGCAGTAGGTTTGCGAGCCGAACGTAGTGAGGCTTGCAATACTGCTGAAGCACAAAAAAGTGCTTCTACTCCGTATGCAACACGCTATTTTTTCTCCAAACAAATGGGGTAAGCTCGGGGGTAACTGAATGGTTAAGCGGCAGTAAAAGTACGAGCGGCACTAAAAGTACTTTTGCTGTCGCTGGGATTGCCAAGCAGCATAGAAATTGAATTTCTACCACCTCGACAGGTGTTAACCTGCTGGATTTGCCTACCAGCATAGAAATTAAATTTCTGACATCTTGACAGAGGTTAACAAAGTGGCGTTTTTTTGACGTTTGGAGAAAAAAGATTATTCAGTATCCAAAAATAGACAAGCTTCAATATATAGAATGTTTAATAGTATATTGTTGTATAAGGAGTAGAAGCTTTTCTTTTTTGTGCTGAAGCAGTAGGTTTGCGAGCCGAACGTAGTGAGGCTTGCAATACTGCTGAAGCACAAAAAAGTGCTTCTACTCCGTATGCAACACACTATTTTTTCTCCAAAGTAAGTAAGTAAGCTCGGAGGTAACTGAATAGTTGAGCGGCAGTAAAAGTACGAGCGGCACTAAAAGTACTTTTGCTGCCGCTGGGGTTGCCAAGCAGCATAGAAATTAAATTTCTACCACCTCGACAGGTGTTAATCCGCTGGATTTGCCTCGCAGCATAGAAATCAAATTTCTGACATCTTGACAGGGTTTAACAAAGTGACGTTTTTTTGACGTTTGGAGAAAAATTAAATTTCTGACATCTTGACAGGGGTTAACAAAGTGACGTTTTTTTGACAATTGGAGAAAAAAGTCATTTTTATAAGCAATAGACTAATAATAATAACGAATTGTATATTGTTATAATTCATCTTTGTACATGTTTTTTCTTGTGTGAATAAAAGAAAATATTGTTTATATTATGGACATATTATTTTTATAATACTTAATTATCATAATCTTCGGGTGCGCAATTCGAGTACTGTAAATTTGGGGCCTCTTTTGTATAGTGCGCAATTCGTGTTAAAATAGATAGGGCCCAGGTATAAAGTGCGCAATTCGAGGCCGCCCTCTCATATATCTTCCACATGATTAAGAAACAGGCCTCATAATAGAAAGAATTTTCTTGTCATAATGGAAATAGCAGAATGTAGCTTAAGGGTACCACAACCTAGCAGAATATTCATTTTTCCTCTAAGGGTGATTAATCTATTTAATAAATAGGAGAAACCTCATAAAAGGTTGAGTCTTCTCAAGAGAAAAGTGCTCTTGCACCTCGTCAGTGCAGTGTAGAATCCACAGCTACCAGTTTACCAGGTCAATCAATTCTCACAAGAGTCTCTGAGAGTCAGAAACAAACACTCAGCTAAATTACCAATTTATCTTGAAACAATAGCAATAGCATTGATAAGTGAAAACATGTATGGACGATGCTGGGTTGCCATAATTTGATTCTCAATATCAATGCAGTAAGCATATAAAATTCTGGAATAAGACTCCTTATATTGACCATATTATTATTTTCGAGACCTACAAACACTATAGATTCATCACAGAAGATCAGCATGGCTTATTCAAAGGAAGAATAGCATTTTATCTGGTTTTAAATCTTGAGGATTTATGTTTGTGTTCTGGTGTTTATCGCGTCGACTGTAGGATTCATACACTAGGTGTCCAGGAATGGCCTGATCTTATTTTCATTTGTTCATCAACCACACTACATCCTTTTTTCAAATGTAAACATGCACATAAGGTATGCTGACAATCTAAAATTCTTCAGTGTTGTGAATAACTTCGATAATGTAAACGATCTTGTTTCTTGGATGTGGCAAAAACTTTTTAGGCCTGAGGGAACTAGTCGAATAGGATTCCTTGAGCTGAAAATTACGGTTTCGCAACAGAACAGTGGGTTAGAAGGTTTCATTCATGTGGTTTCTCAGTAGTGGTTGTTGGTTTATCATGAGGTACCCATAAGGAGGAGATACAAGAAGAGAAGATTCAATTTAAGAGCAGAGAAAAGATGAACATAACTTTTTAATCATCACCAAAGTCTGCTCAAGCAGGAGAATGATTCTATTTAGTTCTAAAAACAAGCATTTTTCGATCCAATGCAGTTCCAATTTCCAGATAAAACTGTCTCACCTACTAGACATACTTACCATGGAAATAAAATAATAATGTTTGGACTACATTTTTAATCACTCTCGAACTGATGATAACATTTTTTGAAGAAATATAATTCAACTCTTGAAAAATATATTGGTTTTATTGACAAATTTTGAAAGTTAGCTATTTATTAAGTATTATCTATACACCTATTTCTACTGATAACAAATATTATATTGCTAGACGAGATGTCAAATTTATTATCCTACATGAAATCTTCATGAAATCCACTTACTTACCTGAACAACATATTCTTAAGGTAAGGTACATCGCCGCTGATCGATGGCGGCAAATAAAATTTCAAATTTTCAAAATCAAACTCCGATCTATCGTCACTAGGCGTCAGGGCCATTTTTTCGAACCAATTTGCATTGTATTGAAAAAACTGCAATAAAAAACACGGTTGCACTGTGGTAAAGCAATATGAGCAAATATTTATAGAAACTCTTTAGACCGAGTCTATGTATATATGATAAATCAGTCAAAAACAAACCGCGACACACCTCTCAATTTGGTTGTTAACCAGCGATAAACCTTTAACTTTAAGGCAGGACCGGTCTTTATATCCTTGGATTATTTGCATGCTAAATTGGGGATTCACAGTCACAGTTTTTGTGTCATAAGAGCAAACATGTTCTGAATTGTTTATTTTTGTAGCCTAAATTTGACTAATGACTTGGATTACCGTGACCATTTTGCATTGACATTTTTATATGCAAACTGGTCTGGTAAAATCTGAAAAAATTGCAGTTGAAAATCATCAGTAACATGCAATTATTGCAAGTTCGAGTTAATCATAATAACCTAGATTTAAATTTGTTAATTTAAACTACCCACTACTGAAGGGTGATTGGGTTAGTTCAAATTGTCGGCCCAGCTGAAAACTATTTATGTATCTATGCAGTGGAAGGAAAAGGAAGAAGGATTATTTTCATTGTTCAACTTGAAAGGTTGATTGATTGGTTAGCTAACAGATATTACATAATGGAGAAGGATTTTAATTTGTAATGAAAGATGACCTCCGATGTGAAAATATAATGTGAGGTGATGAGGAATTATTGAAGCAACTGTAAGACAAGTTGTCTATCGTCTATCAGCATAGATTATTAATTAGTGTTGATAATTCATCCCCTAAACTAAAAGGAATTTGAAAAATAAAATCTATGGCAAGCAAGTAGGTAGTTTGACATTGAACTGTTGAATTCAAGTACATACATGATTATCATAAATGGAGATATACAATGTGTGTTTCCTTTAAAGAAAAAGTTGATAGATTTTATTGAAGTTGAATTTAGAGAAGTAAAAGAGAAAGAGATTATTAGGGTATTCACCGGAAACTGGAACTATGGTTGACATAGAGCTGAAATATACCAGAAACATGGAGAAGGATTTTTTTCAGGTTATGTGGATTCTGATTGGACACTAATGTTAATGAGAGAAAATCAGTATCAGCAGGCTATCTGGATAAAAATATTTGAAAATAATGTTGCATGGGTGATTACCTATACCTACTATTTAGTTGGATTGTGTAGGTAATGAAGTACAAGACAAAATTATGGTTTAAAAAGGCTCTTTAATGATAATATGAACTTATTTTTAAAATCTTTTGAAGTTTATGAAGGCATCGCATTATTTAAGAATCTAGCAAATAATAAATGAATGACGAAATATAACTTTGTATGTGAAATTCTGAAAGACGGTAGTTTTCTACTGGTTCATTTAAAAGAAACGCCTTGGAAATGGTAGGTACACAGCTGACCATCGGGACATAAGAGCTTTGTTCCAACACAGCAGAAAACAGTACAATGTACTGTCACGATTCTGCGCAAAGCCAAAAATTTGTGTGTAGTACCCGAAATTCGTATACAGAGTGGTTTCGGAACCGTTCATTGGACGGTTTCTGTTGTGTTGTTTTTGTTTTTTCGAACCTATTCAATGGTGGTTTGAAAAACAATCCACAAAAATCTTACGTTTGCATGACTTTTCTATGAAAACATAGTTTTGTCGACCCAAGCGATAGATCCCAATCGTTATCAGCTATGACTTCTAAAACTGACTAAGTTTCTGGCATTCTTTTTATGGGTTTTTTTTAGAAAACATTGCTTTGTTCCAAGGCAGCAGGAAACCGTACAATGTACCGTCATGATTCTGCGCAAAACTAATCATTTGTGTTATTGAGTAGGTAGGTACCTACACTGAGTGGTTTCGAAACCATGAGTCATTTGACGGTTTTTTGACGTGTTGGAACAAACCTATGGTTATTTAAAATATATATATATATATATCGCTTTTAATTCGTCTTTAAACAAACGTTTTTTTTTAAATACTTTAGATGTTCTGACGTTAAACAGAACTCTATACCATCAAATTTTCGATGTCACTCTATGTGCGCGAAAATGTAAAATGCGGTAGGTACTTAAGAAGTATGAAAGTCGTTTTTTGAAAAAGAAATCAAACATTATAGGTACTGCCTGATGAGTTCTATTTTTCCTAAAAATCTGTATGTTTGATTATTTGTGCTAGGAGATCAAGAATGTAAACTTTTCTTCCATCCAATTTTCGAATTTTTTTAAATTTTCAAAAATCGGGAAAATGCAAAATGAAGTCTCTCACGAAAAGATCCATAACAATAACTATGAAAGATACGATTCCACGATTATAAAAAGCACATTTAAAGTACATTTCTTGAAATTTTCAGATCTGCAGCTACTTCTAATTTTGAAGAAAAAATACTCAAAAACAGTAATTTTTTGAAAAATTCAAACGGAAACCCTACATAAGAATTTCCATTTCATCATTCCTTAATTCTTTCTCAAAATCTGTACATATATTTCCTAATTTGAGGTCATGGATCAACAATAAAATATCAGTTAGCTATTCTCTATCATTAAACTTTCGATGTTTCTCTGTCTTCAAATATGGTGAAAATCCAAAATTAGTCTCTCATGGAATAAAAAAGTATAAAAGCTGCTGACTTGCGGTTTCCACACAAGAAAGATAGCACAATTCCAAGTATAGGTAATATCTACCATTCTTTCTTAAAAAAATCCCGATGTGCAACTATCTCACAGCATGTCAATTTTCAAGAAAAAAATACCCAAAATCAGCTGTAATTTTTGAAAAAATTAATCTATAACCAACGGATTTATGAGTTTTTATTACGTACGTAGTTACCTATATCTACTGACTTTTTTGTAGTAGGTAGTAGAAACATTCAATTTTTTTAGAATTTATAATATATTTCGGAAATCCAAAAAAAAATTAACAACAAAACTGTTTTAAGGAAAATTCGAAATTGCTACGAAATCAAATTCTTGTTGCAACATTTCGGTGAAATTTCTACTGATATAGACTATCAATCAATCCATAATGCATCACCTACATAATTTTATCGAATACTACTCAATAAAGTTCCTCAATAATTGCCCAGTCCGTACCTGTTATTATTTGCAGTACCTATGTACTCAAATCCCATATGGAACGGTTCCGTATTAAGATAAATCAGTTTTTTTATCAGAAAAACAAAACTATAGTATCGATACCTCTAGTATTTACGGAACTTATAAGAGCTAATCACTTTACAGGCATGTTTAGTAGGTATCTAATTGTTTTGCAATGTACAACATTAATTTGTACAGTGCAAATGACAATACTTACAATGCCCTGCTATTGTGAAATACAATTTGAGTAATTTCATTGGAAAAAGTAATTTGCCTATCAGCTAGGCAAATCCACACAGAGTGCTTTACACTGCCTGGTTGAAGATATTGAAAGGACAATCCAGTGCAAAGAGATTGCTCTCACAGCATTCATTGACATAGAGGGTGCCTTCGACAACACCTCACATCAATCAATCGCTAGAGCCTTGCAAAAATGGAATGTTGAAGTTCCCAATTACGTTACGACTGAAATAAATGGAGCATCAGCTACCGTTACCACGGTCAGAGGGTGTCCTTTTTCCACTACTATGGACACTAGTGGTGGACAAAATCCTTACCAGTGCTGGATACCAGGTCATAGGCTATTCAGATGACCTGGCCATTATAATCAAGGGCAAACATGAAGGCGTAATAACAAGCCGAATGGAAACTCCTCTAAACATCGTTAAAAATTGGAGCGAAGGCGAGGAATTATCCCCAAACCCAAGCAAAACAATTCTTGTCCCGTTCACAGGAAGAAGGAAGCTAAATTTGAAAGCTCCCATCCTTTACGGTACAACACTAACATTTTCCAACGAAGTGAAATACTTGGGGTCACCCTCGACCAAACATTCAGTTGGAACAAACAGTTAGAGAAAACATGCTCTAGAGCTAAATCAGTTATCTGGTTGGTAAAACATGGGGGCTTAAGCCAAAGATGGTATTCTGGCTTTACCAAACTATAATAAAGCCCATATGCACATACGCCGCATTGGTATGGTTAAATAAGGTACAAAGGCTGATATGCCTAGGAATAACGGGAGCAATGTCGACCTGGCCCACTGCAGCCCTAGAGACGTTGCTTAACATGCCTCCACTTCACCTATGTGTGAAAAAGGAGGCAATAATCAGCGCTCAGAGGCTATTCCAACAAGTTCAAGCCTGGTGATCTGAGGAGACATCTGCGCATCTTTGAAATAATAAAACTGGAGAATGCCAGCAAACCAAGCGACCACATGATGGTCAGATTGGACTTCGAGATCCCATTCGCAGTGGTTATAAATGAGCGCCAATCATAGGAGAATAAAGAATTACCGCAAGCAGACAATGCATCTCTGTGGTACACAGATGGATCCAAACTAACGGAAGGAGCTGGACTGGGCATTTCCTGCCTTAACTTTAAGCTCTTCAAGGCATTGGGCAAATATCTTACAATAATTCAAGCCAAACTGCTTGCCGTATACATATGTGCACAAGAGTGTCTCAACCAAAGCCTCAAAGGAAAATACATCTTTATACTATCAGATAGCCAAGCTGCCTTAAAAGCCATAAGGGCTTTCAAATGCACCTCAAAACTAGTCTGGGAGTGTAGACAGACCCTAAAAACACTAGCGACACACAACTAGGTAACGCTGATGTGGCTGCCTGGTCATCGAGGCATAGAAGGAAACGAAGAATGGCCTTGCAAAAGATGGGTCCTCAACCAGAGTTGGGAATAACGACAAAAAATAGTTACTTTACTTTAACGAGTTACTAAAAGTAACGCGTTACTTGGTAACTTCGTTACTTTTCAGATTGATTGATAAGTAACTGTAACGATGTTACTTTCCTGAAGTAACTGCAGACCGCAGAGGCACCTGCTCTGCGAATGTCCAGCCCAATTCTGCAAGAGCAGTAACATACCTTCTTTCGACAGAAGTCTGGAAAGCTGAAACGACTCCCCCCACAATCAACAATCTACAATTTCACTGAGAAAATAGAAAAATATAACACAGTAGGTACAAAAAGTTTAAAAAACTACACAAAAGAAGTAAAAATTGGTCAAACGTCTCTGATATCAACAGTATAAGAATATCATCCAGATTGGTGTGTTTTGCCAAAAATCAGAAATGGCTTTAACCAAGGACAACTAA